AAGTGTGCGCCTGCTTTGTTTTCACATGACACCAAACACGTGTAGACAGATGGATCCCAAATGTGTGGTGGTCAAACAACTGCGCAGAGGCAGTCTTTTTCTTCAGTGCTGTCTTTTTTTTGGCAAATGCCAGCAATGTTCTTCTCTTGCAGCATCTGTCGAATGAACTGACTGTTCCGGGTGGCGTTGTCCACTGCGGTTGTTTTGCTTTAACAGTGTTTCAGAAGCTTCAACGCATTGAGCACGGTGGCTCTGCCTCTTGGAAATTCACAGATCCATCCAGAAAATTTTGAAAGTACTTCGCTTGCCATCCTTCGCAGGGCTTTCACATCAGGTTTGACGCTAGATCAACCAAGCCTGAGAAGACGGATGAGTTTGACTGAGTCTACAAATCCAGAAGGAACTTTGAGTCAACCCGGTCATGAACGCTCTGATGCATTTGCTCGAGCTGGACGAAGTGGAAGATATCGTGACGAACAAACTGGCGGACCAAGGAAACGCATGAACCAGAGAGGAGTGCATCCAGTGAAGGTCAAAACTTCAGCACAATCTTCAACAGAGCGACATCATTCTTTGATCATCATGAAGGCAAAGGTGAAGGTGAAGATCAACAACATCCTGAACATCATGGAGAAGAAGAACGTCCGCATCATGGACAAGTGCGACGAGTATGACAACGCGCAGAAGACCAAGATGCAGTTGAAGGTCTATGATTTGTTGACATGGGCCATGTCCTGACCTGATCGTGAAGTTGGAGTTCAGAAGCTCTGTTAAAGCATGAATGGGAGAATGAGGGCGACTTCGTGAGCGACCAACTCAATCAAACCCAGGACATCCATGACCAGTGCTGGGCAATGCTGGACGAGACAGGCAAGAATTGTGAGGGATGACCTCCGGACCCGGAGACCTTCGATCAGAACCGGTGACACATGCTGGAACGTGGAGAAGGGTTTGAAATTCAATTGGCCAACTTCATCAGGCAGATCGTGGAGACAGCGATGACACAGCCCGTGGTGGTGAATGAACAAATGCTTGAACGCCTGAATGGTCTACACACAGAGATCTTCAGGGAGGGGAACGAGAGGCAATTGATAAGACAATCAGTGAGATGGAAAATGAAGGAGACAACGAGGCTGAAACAATTCGGGAATGACATCAACAAGGGCAAGGACACAGATCATAAGAGGAACTCCAGAGCTACAACAACGCGATCTTTTGAGTTCTACCAGAAGAAACCGATACCAAGCCTGGCGACCACACTATGGCAGGCTTGGCACTACTTGGAGAAGAAAATCTTCAAGATGTAGTGACAAAGAACACCTATGCAGGAACTTCCACAGGTGGAATCAGGGGCAACCTGCAAGACGGAGAATGTCCCTACTCACGAAGACGGTGTGCCTTCCATCAGAAGGCGATGAGCGACGAGGACATGAATGGAGATGACATGGAAAACATGCAGGAACCCAGCAGTGTGAGTGAAGAAACTGTTGGCGACGGCAGTTCAAAAGAATGCACTTCTCCCTGTCAGATCCCGTTCCAAAAGTGTGACAAGGTGTGTGTGGATGCACTTGAGCATACATCCGCAAGGCAAGGTGACAGATTCACTTTTGCCGGATCATGAGACCACATGTATAGGAATGAACATGCCGCAGTGGCCCTTCACTCTCAAGTGAAGATGTCCTCTTTGGAGCTTGGGAAATTGCAGAGACGGTGATTTTAGACGATATACGAAAAAACACTAAGAACAAGAAGGCGGCGCTGCGTGACGTCTCAAACGTGCGAAGTGGGTGACCCAGAAGAGCGGATGGAGTGCAACCATACGTTCAGCAAAGAGGACGGCCAGGATTCGCCAAATTACATGTTAGGTGTTGCATCGAAAACAGAAAAGTGATCTTGAGGTGGGGTGTCAGATTTGAACATGCAGACCCCACTGTGTAAAGATTACACGCACAAACAGAGAAGGGTATATACAGGTGAACATGCCCACTGACACGAGTGGTTCTCAGGCACAAAAAGGCGGTGCATTTGTGTTTGTCATTATGTCAATAGCGGCTAATGGTGTTCTGCAGTTCATTTTGACCCAAGAACGCATTACACTTTAGATTTTGCGACTCCCGACCTACTAAGAGGCAAAGCTGCTTATTGGGTGAATCAAATTCAACGGCCTGCGGGTCATTTGAGTTTTGTTGCTGCATGGGCTCAGCCGGGTCATTTTCACGGAAAACATGTGATGACTTGTACATAACTTGCTGCATACCCTTCTGCAAATCTGTTGTCCGAAACCATGTTTGCAACAGTCCACAATGTGTACTTGGCCGTTGAAGTCACTTTAACAAATGGTTCGCTGGTGTTATGGCTGCGCATTCAGGCAGGGTGCGTGAAATTGGCATGGTTATCATGTGAAGGTTCAACCGGTTTTGTTTGAACCACCGTACAAGATTCGCTTGGTGTTCACCCTAGGGGAATGCCAGGTGCCAAATTCATTTTGGAAGGACAAACTTCGCTGTAAAGATCCTCCCAAGCTCTACCTTGACCAGGTGAGAGTTTTATGAAACCACGCCAACCCCTTCGTTTGATAGGTCTTCGGTGATCTCCATTTCGCTGTCATGGCACCTCTCCAATCTGGTGGCGATGTTAACTCTGTCCTTTGGAAAACATCAGAACTCATCAGTTTGAAAATGACCCCTGCTGCCTCCGCTTCAGAGGTAAACCTGGTGGTGGAGAGGCTTTGGTGGCCTTCTTCACCAAACTTCCCAGCCTGCAAGTGCCTAGTTTGCGGAAGCGTTTGGGCATGATGGTTTTGTATTTTCACATCCAAAGGTGGATAGTCGAGAGTGGCTGTGAAGAGAGCTGAATGGTTTTGGGAGAGGCCTGAATAGAATTCAGTTGAATTGAAAACTGAATCTTTACTCAGAGGTTTCGTCAAAAGTAATGTGTGGCTCAAAATCAATATGCTGCTGCTGCTGCTGCTGCTGCGGCGACCCTTCAATCCTCAGACCTGCAACAGCTTGAAGTTCAACCGGGGAAGTTTGCAACAACTGTTGGTGGGATTCTTGTTGAACAGATGTTGGGGACTGGACGTGATTTTCCAGCCAAAACTGTACTCAGAGGCTCATGGGTGCGATCAGTAGTTGACTTGCCGTTTGAAGTGCACAATCAGAGACCCACGCGAGCAGACACTTGGTTCTGTCCCACAGGGTGCTGCTAATCAACTCAAGAAGCAACCACCCAAGCGTTGATCGCTACAGGTGCCTGAGGAGGAACTGGTGATTCCGTCAGACCTCGAGAGATATGGCCTTTCGGAAGTCTTGAACCTAGACTTCGAACTGCACCTTCTTTTGTTTTGCATGTTTTTGGTAGGTCGTGAGAACAAGGCCACAAGGTAGATGATGTGGAGGGATGTCCTTGAAGGTTGGGAGAAGGAAGGAATGATTTGTTTTGGAGTTCGGAAAACCTCCGAAAGATGTGTTGGGCCATGCTGTGACCAGGAAGTGCTTGGATTCCTTCTTTGTGGTAGAGTCGACGCAGGGAACAGAAGCAAGTCCGACTGCTTCACTAAGCCACGGAGCCTCTGAATTCCAGCAAGTACTTCCAAGCTCCTTTCTTTTCAACAGTGTTTTTTGGGGTCAAGTCTCCATAGTGCTGTCAGTTTGGCAACTGAATTATCCCCTGGAGTCCGTTGATAGGTGGTGAATCGACTTCTGGGCCGAGATCAGCCGGGGAGCCCCAGCTTGGTCCATCAGAGGGACGTGAACTGGATGTCACAGTTTTGTCCCTTCTCGGTTCACAAGATCTGCAGAAGAATGAATTTCCATAATTAGCTGAGCCTTGCTTGAGACGCCGGCTGGTTTCAAGCAGCATGCCGCAAAAACACCCGTGGCCAGTGGCCGTGTTGCAAGTCGCCATGCGGGTGATCCGTGTGTTGCGGGTGATTCTGGGCCGAACAAAAAGCTTCGTCACGTGAGTCACGTTTTCACCTCCCGCAGCGTACAAGGCCCATCCCCTTCGACTTCTTGGTGGAGGGGGAATTTCTGCGCTCCAGCATTGGCAGATACCTGGAGGCCACGGAGCAGTTAATTATTTTTGGCCTGTCATGGGGCGAAGAAAAGTCGGTCATGTTCCAGGCTTTGAACATATGACATAATGGGACCAGAAATGGCTGGTAAGGTGGTCAGAGGCCTTCAACCCACCTTCAATCATACCCAACCCGAAAATGCCTTAACAAACCTGTGCCTTGTTTTCGGAAGAACACATTGGGTTTCTTGCTCTGCAATGGAATGCAAGTTCAGGGTTGACCAGGGGTAATCAAAAATGCACCAGGACAGCATGTCTTAAAGCTTGGAAAGCCTGCAGCAGCAGCCAATGGTTGTGTTCCCACTAAAGATGTTTTTGCACCTTCGTCCTAGAAAGTCTTCTGGCTTGAGATTTAAGGCAAACCAAGCAAGGTTCATTGACACTTGATTGCTTCTTACTCACGAAAGCTAGTCTCAGCTAGCTGGATTCCCTTTCGCTTTAGCAAGTTAGAGGCGCGGAACTGGAGATCGATCCCGATCATTTTAAGGTTGAACCACCCGGGTTCAACTTTCGTCATGGATGTTAGCTTCTTTGAGTTGTGAATGTGCTGCGCTATCTCATGGTGGCCCTGTTGCCATGCAGCCTCTGCCTACCTAGCTTTTGTTCACCTCCCCTGGCCTCAAGTAGTATATTTGGTATATTGTTCTTGCGTGGGTTTTGTGAGAATAAGGATTGGAGGTGGTGAGTTGGTCCAGACTCCAGACAAGACAGATCTGTGCGCGGCTTCTGTCGAGGCTCACAAGCTGTCCTCTGAGAAGGTCTTGCGGTTGGAATTTGTGTCCCCTGGCGGCCCTGGCGGCCCTGTTCATGAGACTAGTGACTAGTTCCTCTCATTGCCATGCCAAGCTTGTTGTTTTACAAACATCAACCCAGGCACCAAAAGGGTATGATTTGCCAAAGATGCTTGCCCAAAGGGCATGATTTGCTAAAGTTGTGATGATTTACAAACATCTTTGCAAATCATACCCTTTTGAACCTTGTGTCGCAGCCCAGACCACCGCTTTTGGTTTTTACCGCAGCAGCCCCCTTTGACCATGATTGGTGGATATGGGGACAAGTAGTCGATTCATTGACTGGCTGAGCCGAGATGGCTCATAGGAAGTGGTTGTCTTCTGTTTCCGAGACATTCAGTCTGGATCTGTCCGAAGATGCTAGGCAAGGTACAACTTCTCGTTTAGGTGGATGCAGTGCAGATAGCTGAACGGTGAAGCTGGTAAGTGCCATCTGATGGCGGAGCGCTTGTGCTGGAAGGAATATGGATGAACATTTGTCACTCTAAGGCTTGCCCTACGTGAGCCAGAGCAGTCTGCTGTGGATGAGGCCATCATTTGTGCCAACTGTGCTGAAGTAGAGTGCGCCGAATGCACAATGTTATATAGATATGTTCATGTTGTTAGTTTTATCTCATCTTCTATCTGCTATATACATCTATATAATTATCAGATAGCTAATTCTTTGAGCTCGAAAAAGGCAGTGAGGCTCCAACTCATCCTCCTCTCAACTCGTCCACCGCACCGGGCCACACGTGATGTGACCGAGGCTCCCGAATGGATCTCGAGCGTGGCCGCACTTGAGGTGCCGCACTTGAGTGAGTTTTGTGGCATTCTTAAAACATTTTTTTAAATGTTTTGTTTCTTCTATTTTTCTGAGAAGCCAACGGATGCTGATAGGTGTTGACACAGTTGTTTTGATGCTTCAAGACAAAAGACACTCCCCTTTCGACTAATGTCGGAGGGTTGATACATTTCAAGATCTCACTTCGGAAACATGGTCTTTAGATGTCTTTAGGGGGCTTTGTCTCTGGCGTTTGTTATATTCTTGAACTCGGCTATCTGCAGCCTTTCAGTACTGAAGGCAGGCTGCCTGGTGTCACGCTTTTCACTTCATCCTTCTGTGCCAGGCTTTTCCCAGCACCTGGTTCGCAGCCACCCTCTATGATGGCACTGTTCGTCTGTCCGACCCGGTCTGAGACGAGGTCAGGGGAATCCATTAATCTATCAGTTATATAAGTTAAGTTTGACTAAAATCTAGGAACCAAATGAATAGTGCGAGCGCTTCCCTGAAGAAGCGTGAACTATCCTGCATCCTACCTAGGAAAGTCCTGTACCTACTTGCCACCTTACTTCACTCAGTAGGCGCCTACTGTGCCGCCTACTTGATTAAGTAAGGGAGCGGAGGGGCGGGCTAAAAGAATGGTCAGGGGAGTGAGTGCTGTGCGCAAAGGGAATACTTTTTTTGTGTCTGGTGTTTTTGTGTGAAATCGATGTTGCGATGATTCTTTGGTATGTGAAAACACAGCGTTTCCAGAAAACGCAAGCATGCTTGTTTGAGGGCTTGCAACATAGGACTGAAAATTGAAAAGGCCAAATTGTCCCATAGATTTCCACTACAGACTTCATGCTCTCCCACAGCGAGTTTGGCACCATTTTCACGACAAGCTGCCATACCTTACTGTACAAAGCAGCCAAGAATCTTAACAGGAAAGAGGAAAGATGATCCACAGTTTGACCTTTGATCTTCCAAACAATCCTTGTCTGGTTCTCTGGGCATCCATCCTCGAGCCAACCCTTCCGTTTGCTCTCTGAGGTCTGTATGAGGGTGCCCAGATGAAGCTCACGACGAGGTGTGTAGCCTTGGAGATCAAGTCATGACAATACGATTGATCCAGTGAAACGAAAGGACGAAGTGTGCGATGTCTACTATCCCTTTCACCGAGTCCCCATTACCATGCTTTTGGCATGATTTTCTCCTGTGGCGGCCCTGGGAAATCCCACTTGATTGCACCCTTTTTAATCACATGTTCCTCCACAGCATTGTCATCATTTTCACAACATGGTCACCCTTTAATCAATATTCATGTTTTGTTTGTTTTCTGTTCTTTTCTGAAGTCCTTATCTTCAGTGAGTTCTAATCGTCGTCGCAACATCGTCATCGAACAACCATGTGATTAATTTTATCAGAGTGCGGCTAATGGAGCACCATATTGATTATTTCAACACAATCTTTGTCAGTACACCGTCTTTGTTGGAGTCGCAGCAGCAGCTTTGGCCTGTGTAGTCAAAGTTTAAGAAAGTTGCTCCAGCACAACCTAGAAAAAGTCTAGAGGAAAAATCTAGAGGGGTGTCCTGGAGTATTTAAAACTTGGTTCTCGAAATGGATTATGCTGGAGTTGTAGGCGAACCACTTTGCAGCTTCTTTTTCTCGTGCGGGTTAGGGCTGGGGCCACCTGGGCGAGGATGGCGAACGTCTCGCTGAGTTTAGCGAACTTGTTGGGCCTCGTCGTGCACTTTTCACATATTGTAGAGGAACGCACAAATACAGATGGCTGCCGATAATGCATTAAACATATTACTAAAGTAGATCCTAGATCCTCCTTTGTACTGCCTTAAATTAAATCCTGGGGTTGCACTGCGGTTTTTCAAATTGTGAAACTACAAAAAAGTTTGTTTCCAGACTACGTGACTACATGGCATGTCCCACACAAGGAGATAAGTTATGAAATTGCAGCCAAGTTGGAGGTGGGCTGGAGATGTAATTGTATTCTATAACAGTTGTTTCTCGGGTGAGCGGTGGGGGCAGAGGACAGGATAAAAGTGTCACAGCGAACAAGTTTGTTTTTGTATGTTTCTGTGTTTCATGAAAGTGGCTGGGCTAGGATTTACTTTCTACAGTAAGTCTTTGCACTCTGTCCTGCATCTTTGAAGCGAACTGAAGGAAAGCAATTTGAGGACCAAAGGAAGTCGTGAGTGTCAACGAACGAAACGTTGCATCTAGGTTCAAGTGATAGGCAAGTTGAACAGCTCAATACTGCCGATGGGAACGAGTGAATCCCAAAACAATCACAGCCGACGAATTGTACGGGACGAACTTCAAGGCTTCAGTTGTTGCACTTTTCATGTCTTTGCTCTTTATAATTTGCAGCAGGGGGGATGTTCTTGAGCCATGGATTTGCCGGACGACGATTCGGCTGGAGGTTTTCGGGCCAGATGGAAGCATAAAAGAGCTAGGAAAGACGAAGACGTTGATGCAGACAGTTGTGAACTTGTCGGTGCTGACCTTTCGGCAGGCAGTTCGTTGTGTGTTGACGCTGTCCTCGGTCAGATCGTTAAGCAGGAAGCCTCGTTAGGTGATCTAGAGTATTCCGCCTCTGAGGGACCACTCCCTGTGTTCGAGCCTGACGAGCCAGCAGAAGCCACTTTCGACTGTCATCACCCCCTTGCAACTGAACTGCAACTGAACAGGATAATGAGAAGGCTGGAGCAAACGGCAATCAAGATGCCTTGGGAATCCGATTTTGCTCGTTTGATCTTTGGGAACAGTCTACCAAGCACATCGTTGTCCGCACCGATGGACTGGAGTAGTCAATGTCGGCCTGAAGATTTGTTGTCAGAGGGCCCGACAGTTCAAGCCCAGCCGCAGCTGTTAGATTGTGCAATCCGTCATTGTGTGAGGAATGTGTCCGATAGGTCGTATGTCGAACAGCGTGATGCAGCTATGAGCCGGGCTGTGAACAAGATATTGGTACTGGTGAGGTTGTCCCCCGAGAGTAGTCAACTAGGATCTCAACTGCTTTTGGAAACTGAAGACCCGGATGAAACGATTCGCGCCATCATTGGTGTGAAGTCTCTGCACACAGTAATCAAACGTGTCAACAGCATTCGTGCTTTTTTCAGGCGGTGTGAGACAAATTTGTCGGAACCATGTTTTTCAATTCAGGAAGCTATGGTCTGGAAGTTCATTCAATTCCTGAAGCTGACGGGGGCGGCGCCCACACGTGCTCAGGGCTTTGTGCAGGCACTGAGGTTTGCGTACTACACCTTTGGTTTGCAAGGCAGTTTGGAAGCCGTCCAAAGTAGGCGAGTGACAGCGAGTGCAGAGCTTAACAGGCTCGGCCTCTCAAGGTCACAGGGGTGAGACGTTTGCATGCCATAGCTTCGGATCGTGACAAACTCCTTGTAGATCGTGTTATGGCGTCCAACCTTTTGTTGATGGTGTATGGTAGATGCAGAAACAGTGACGTCAGGCATGTTCATGAAATCTTACACGATCACTCGAAGGAGAACGGTTTCATAGAAATCACCACACGTCACCACAAAGGAGCAAAGAACGCACAGAAGAAGGCCACTTTGATGCCAATACTGATGGACTCAAACGGAATCTGCGCAGATGGTTGGCTTGAACATTTGATCCGGAACAGAAAAGAAGCCAAGTTGCCAGTGTCCGGCATACTGGACGGAGCATTGTTGCCAGCGCCTTTCTTTGAACAGAAGCTTGACTGGAACACTCGGCCTTTGCGCGCTGAGGAAACCACTGACATCCTTCGCAGCTTGTTGCAGTGCGATGACAGTCAGCTGTCTTCACATTCATTGAAGGCGACTGCACTGTCTTGGGCCACAAAGGCCGGCGTCGACAGAGAGACAAGGAAGAACTTAGGCAGGCACGCAAGCGCAGTTGAGGGATCTGATGGGTTCTATAGCCGTGACCTTTGCGTGGAGCCTGTCAGAGCCTTGAGCCGGGTGTTTCGGGTGAGAGTGCCTCAGACTCCTGCGCATGTCGAACCAAGGGCTCCAACCTCTGTGAACTTGTGGGAGACCTCAGCTTGAACCAAACAATGTTAAGAGTGAACATGTTGCCGTCAATGCGCCCGGCACTTTGTCTGGGAGCAGCTGCATTGTGAAGTGGACTCCAGTTCGGAGGCATCCTCAGGAGACACACAATCTACTGAAGGTCGGAGCGCAAGTCAGGACGATGATGCACTGGTCACGAAGCAGCCACCCCGAGCGACGGTGGCAGTCACTTCTAGCTGGCCAGTGTATAGTGTTTGGATCGGAAATCGCAGCGCGAAGGTGTTCCACCGTTTTAAGTCCTTGTCTGAGCCGACTGGGGATTCGATCCATAACAGGGTAACTGTTTGTGGCAGAAAGGTGTTGGACCGATTTGATCGGTGTGGCGATCCAGCTCGTTTCGATTCGATATGCAAAATTTGTGTCAAGACTCGCCTGTGTGGTGGCAATGTGCCATCTGGTGCTGGACTGTGCCCGAGGGGCAATGGCCCCAGAGAAGCCAAGCATGTTGGCAAAAAGAACGAACATGGCAATGTGCCACGCATGTGCGGTCAAACCAGAATGTCCTTCTCACTCTAATGTAGTGGTGGTCGCGATGTGCTTTCTTCTGTTTTTCTTGTTTGAATTCTCCACGGCGGTGAAAGTCTGGATGTACAGAACCACAATCGCGAGCACGTATGTGCAGGCCCAAGAATGTGGGGCAATGTAGGTGGAAGCCAACATGGGATGACTCGTGGGTCAATGACAAACTTGCTGGGGAGCTTCAAGTCACTAGGGCAATTGGGCTTCGCTTGCGGGCAACCTGGGGTGCCTTTGAATGAGGCGGAATTTCAATCTTTCGCTGCGAACACGCTGGGTGCCATGGCTTCTTTGAGCGATATCGCGATATTGAAGAGACCTTTGTTCGAGGCCCACACATTGACCTTAGCGCAACTTCGTGAAACAGTGACAGATCCGGATGCCCCCTTAACCCGTAGAATTCCCGCCGTAGAGAGAGAAGCCAAGATGGCTCACTTGAGGGCACGTCTCGCAGGTGTTGTGATCGAGAAGCAGCTAGAGCCTAGCCACGAGCTCTGAGACAGCGTCTCCCAGCAGTGGGAAAGTCGCCGATTGAAATACATGTCCCCTGAGAAGTGCTCGTCTCGTGAGTTTGAAGTGACAATGTCCAAGAATGCAAGACAGATCTCATTGGACACGGACAAAATGGTGATCAAGGAACCCAAGTCAGTGCCTGATCAATTTGCAGGCGCAGAGATGTTAGTGTTTGAGTCGCTGTGGCGACGTGGCATTGCGTACGCCTTCGCAGATATCATCAGCTGGCAAGTTCACGAACGCTACTTGCAGAACCTTTTTGCGCACTTGAGGAACGAACCACCTGCTGGCTACAGCAAACCCACTCTTCAGCAAGTGTTGAAAGCAGATCGCCAGGTGTGCCTCAAGCTCATCCAGGACGATGTTCCGGTCAGGCGGGATGCAATGAACGTTTTGGCATTGGACGCAGAACTCCCAGCAGCTCTTTCGTCATATGAAGTCGGGTTTCATCTCCTCCCCTTGCCAAAGCCACTGCAACCGCATCCGGTGAAAGGTGATCGTTATTGGCAGAAAGGTGACTGGCGCAAAGGTGATTGGCACCGCCCCGGAGGTGAACCATACAAAGGCAAGCCGAAGGGCAAAGGCAAGGGCAAGTCAAAAGATCGCCTGAACATCCTTCCGAAGGAGCTCCAGCACAAGGACAATGTCTCAACAGATTTGTTTGGCCGTAGATTGTGCTTCAACTATAATGGGTTGTCACGCGCCGCATCCAGTGACTTCCCATGACAAGGACAAGGAGTGACTAGGTTCTCGATCCGACAGATTGGTCGCAGCGGGAGCGGATGTTTCACAGTGTTTCATCGTGGAGATCTTCGCAGGCACCTGCCGTGTAACTTGCTGTTTAAGACAACTGGGCATGGCAAGCGCATTTGGAGTTGATCATGTGAGGCACAGGAATTCAGCAGCACTAGTGTCGATGTGCGATCTTAGCTCCCCCAACTACCAAAGCTTTTTTGGTCGTGGGTCGAAAATCCGAAAGTCATAGGAATCTTCTTAGCTCCTCCTTGCGGAACAGCGTCCAGAGCTCGGCAAATTCCTTTAAAAAGAAAGTTCACAGAAGCATTTGGGCCGCCGCCCGTCAGGACAGATGCTTTCCCAAACGGGCTTAAACATTGTCTTGGACAAACAAACTCCGTGTTTCATTCGCTAATAAGCTGTATCACTTCAAATCACAGGTCGTTGAGTGGTGCATTAAACATGGTTGCGTTGTATGCGTTGAGAACCCTCAGCGTTCGCTTTTCTGGTCCACGACTTTTTGGCAGAGTGTTGCAGGCAAACTCAAATACACCATTTTGCACACATGTATGCATGTTTGGTGGCTCTCGCAAAAAGAAGACAATGTTGGCTCACAACGCAGACGAATTTGACAGCTTGAGCGTTACGTGCTTAGGTCAGAACGCATCACATAAGCACTTGCCGTGGGGCACCGCCCCGCGTGGTTTGGCTACTTCGGAGGAAACAGCTTATCCCATGCCACTTGCCAGAGCCATTGCCAATGCTTTCATTCTCGCACGCTGCAACCGTGGTATCCGACCGTTGCCATCAACTATGCACGATGTGCAGCCATTGTCTCTCGACGCACTGAGGACCATGCGCGCCCAAGCCGGGCAACAACCAAAGGCCAACAAAGTCCCACCAATAGTCCCTAGTTTCGCATCATACATCGATGTTGCTGGTCATGCGCCTGTGCTGCCCCAACTGTTATTGCAACCTCGAATCCAAGCGCATCTTACTTTGGAGTGAAATGCTCAAGGCAGCCGAGTATCCAGACCTGGGCGTGATCGACGAGTTCATGGCCGGGAGTCGCTTGACAGGAGAAGCTGAAGTCACAGGCCTTTGGCCTGTAAAGTTCACCCCGGCTCAAATGACCGAGTCGGACCTGTTCGAGCTCAGCTCCCGTGACAGGCCGTTGTCGGGAACGAGTTCGTTTGGAAACATGGACCGTCAGGTTGCCCAGACTGTTTGGGATCAGACAATCCAGGAGGTGCAGACAGGAGCATTGGAGGGTCCTTTTTCTTTGGAATCAACCCCAACTCATTTCCCCCTCAGCAAACGCTTTGGGGTACAGCAGGGTGAGAAAGTGAGGAATGTGGATGACTTCTCGCTGTCAGGCGTCAACGCCTGCGCCCAGATGGGGGAGAGTCCTAAGCCCCACACGTTAGACGTGGTCGCCAGCCTTTGCTCGGCACTTATGTCATCAAATGCAGGCGCGTCCAGCAACCGCTGGAAATGCCGTTCGTTTGACCTCAAGGGTGCCTACAGGCAGTGCGCTGCGCACCCTGAGTCCGAACCGTTCAGTCACATTGTTGCTTTCAACCCAGACGCCAACTCTTTGGCCGCCTTCAGAATGAACGCCCTACCATTCGGCAGCGTCCGATCAGTGCATTCGTTTTTGCGAGTGGCGCATAGCTTGTGGTTCTTAGGGGTAGCCCTGTTTGATATCTTGTGGCGCAACTATTTTGACGACTTCGTAACGTTCGGTCTTGAAGGAGTGTGGTTCGATCACAAGTGCGGTTCATCTCTTGTTCGATCTTACGGCTTGGCGCTTTGCGAAGTCAGGGGACAAGGCGTGCCCCTTCGCTAGTACCATGAAGGCCTTGGGGATCCTCATTGATGTCAGCAACCTGGGGCAAGGCTTGACACTTTTCGATAATACCCCACTCCGCAAGTCTGATTTAATAGATTCCCTTGATAGGACTATCAAACGAGGTACTCTACCAAAGTCCGAAGCCCTGCGGCTACGTGGTAGACTTCAGTTTGCCTCTGGGCAGCTCTACGGGAGGACAGCCAAGTCGTGCCTGGCTGTGCTGACCGCGCATGCGTACTCCCCAGTGGGGGCAAAGTTGTCCGAGTCCGGTCTGCAAGCACTCAAGACCTATAGGAGCTTGTTAAGTAGCAATGTTCCCCGTAAAATCTCTAGCAGAGCGTCTCGTACGTGGATGGTCCTGACGGACGCTAGCTTCGAAGGTAGCGAAGAGACAGCCAAGGCAGGTGTGGGTGCTGTGCTTGCAGACCAGGAGGGGCAGGTGTGTCTCTGAGGAGATTCCTTATGCACTCCTGAGTGACTTGAGAAAACCATAATCTACGAATGTGAGTATTTTGCTGTTTGGTGTGCCCTCGATGCGTGGCGCAACATCATTGCAGGCCAACATGTCTTGATCTTCATTGATAACAACGCAGTAAGAGATTCGCTAATCAGTTGCCAGACCTCTAGCCCGATTGCCCATAAAATAATGTCTCGAATTCTTGACCTTGAATACATGGCAAGCATGTTCACCTGGTATTCTCGCGTCCCCACTCATTCCAACATTGCGGACGGGCCATCGCGGTTTGACGCATCCTTGCTGAGGCGCTTAGGTGCAGAATGTGACTCGTACCATATGACGGGGTTGCGCAGCTGCCTGGGGCTCTAAGTGGGGGAGTGACTGACGAAAAAGGTGCGTGACCGCTTTCACTGTTTGTGTCTTTTGCAATTTGCAACGTGTCTTCCACAGGGACTTATGAAGCGAACCGAAGGAAAGCAATTTGAGGACCACAGGAAGTCGTGAGTGTCAACGAACGAAACGTTGCATCTAGGTTCAAGTGATATATAGGCAAGTTGAACAGCTCAATACTGCCGATGGGAACGAGCGAATCCCAAAGCAATCACAGCCGACGAATTGTACGGGACGCACTTCAAGGCTTCAGTTGTTGCACTTTTCATGTCCTTGCTTTTTAGAATTTGCAGCACCCGCCCTCGACCACCCAGCTGCAAACCTTCGAGCATTCGTCATGCCTTTCGCGCAGTTTGTTGCCAGACCCGCCTGTGACTGACCAGGCACCTGTGCACCCCCGTTCGAAAAAGGTGCGTGAGCGCTTTCACTGTTTGTGTCTTTTGCAACGTGTCTTCCACAGGGACTTAAGTTGGCTTATTTTTTTTGTCACGTACCAGGGGCAAGCAAAATTGGAGAAAAATTACCAAATATAGTGTCAGCTCCTCCCCTTCCAAACCAGAGGGCGATACTACTAAAGTGTGTCTGAAGATTGGCACTTTGGACTGCACCTGACACTTCCAAGCGCAGCCAGTCATTCGAGTGAGTAGGGACTCTTCGAGATCAGCGCAAGCCGCATGTTCAGTGCGGGTCACGGAACTCGGTCTTTTGTTCTCTCCAGGTATTTTTGCATCTTTGAAGAAAATCAAGGACCCTTCTGGATCAGAAGCTCATTTTCGCCAAAGGTTCAGATTGGCTGCCCCCTGAATCCAATCCACTCGTGGTTTTCTCGATCCCCGCAGTAGGCGGCCTTTCTCTTCTTGAACGAGTGGGAGAGACCGGTGAAACAGGTGCAACACGGTGCTATCGGAGCGAACCAGATAAAGGGGTTGAAAGATTTGCCAGAATCCTCTGAGGCTCTCCGACCATGGCCTTACTGGGGCAGCAGCACTGCCGACCTCAAGGCACGCAGGGTCTGGGGTGATTTGGATAAACAAACCTGAGGACTCAGTTGGCCTCGAGACCCACGTCCTCACTCTTCCATCAAGACACTCAAGCCTCCCCCACTCAGCGACACCATCACTAGGTCAAGGCAAGTTAACATCCAAGAGTGCCAAACAGGCTTTCTTCCTTTTTCAACACTTCCGCACTGTAGACCAAGTTGTTTTTTCTTCCACAGCCATTCTTATGATCCTTGTGCTGGTGAGGGGCAGTCACTTGGTGGCCGCTTGTCTGGGAGCCTGGACACTGGTACACCTAAATCCCTCAAAAGCACTTGAAAATCACTATATAGTGCAGTCTCCAAGTCTCTGCCTGCACCACCTGCACTCCCGGTGCCTGCACCGCCGGTTGAGGTCAGGATGGCACCTTGAAGGCCTGTGGATTTCAATGTTGGGATGCTCAGAAGTTTCTTATTCTCCTGACTGGGTTCCACAAGGGAGGTTCTTGGGTTGGAAATAGAGGATTCAGAGAGGTTGGTTGATGTTTGGTTGGGGAGGTCAGTGATGGAATGCCTAGCAAACTCTTAAGAGGTGCCAACAAACTGTGCAACCTAGTTCTGATGGAAAGCAAACCAACGTAGAATCTTTGCGGGGATAGATCCTCACAAGAAGAGCACCTCAACAGGAATGTAAAACTGTTCAATGTAGCACTGGATGAGCAAGGCGAGTACGTTTGGCTGGGCACATACTGAATGCCCCTGGTAGCGACCCCTCTAGACAGGCATCTTACCAACCACATAACGCAGAGAGCATATACAGAACCTATATATATATATATACATCTATACACATACACAAGTTATACAGGCTCAAGGTTTCGGCTCGAGGCGCAGGTTTCTCGTCCCTGCTGTTCCTCGCACTACGCGTCTTCGAGCCGGACACCCCGGAATCCGAAGAGGGTGGCCTCTGCGGCAGCATGGAGTGGTCCTCACGATCTTCCTCATGGAGAAGGACATACCAGTGTTGCCAAGGACCTGCATGCCCTAATTGGATTTGGGAAGACAAAATATGTGAGGGCTATGTCTGTCGCCAATGTGGCTTGGCCTGGTCAAGACCTCCTCAAGGCTACAGCAGTCACCCTTCCTCCCGAAGATTATACCCGATCTCAAGGAAGGCTCGCTCCTCGACAGAAGCCAGTGACCCCTCCGCCGGGGTTAGGAGGGCACAGAGGCTCCAAGATAGGCCAAGTTCACAAAGCCACCACGGACCTGCTCACTACCTCCTGGAGTTCCTTGGATTCCAAGCTGCAAGCTCAGTTGGAACAGCTGGGAATCAAACCTCTTGCCCAAGAGAAGGAGCCTGAGCTGACAGACGTCCTCAAGGAGAACATGGCTCAGCTGCCTACTGCGGTCAAGGAGTTGGTGGAGCGCATCACGCGTCCGCCGCCTGAGACAGAGAAGGACATGGCCTTGAAGTTGAAGTCCCAAGTCTCTGCTTTGAGAGATCTGTCTCATCGGAAACAGGTCCTTCAGGCAAAGATTGACACCACGAAGAAGACATACTCTGACATGCTGGAGGATATGAAATCCCTTCAATCCAAGCTTGAGGCCGAGCAGTCTGCCCTGAACACGACGAGTGCTGCCTACATGGCCTTGGTCAACACACAGAAGCCTGCCGAAGCACTCCAGGACGGTCAGCCCATGGAAGACACAGTACCAGACGCGGTCGCTGGTTTTATCACCACCTTAAGTGTCAATCTCACAGCTGATCAAAAGGCTCAGCTCAGTTTGATGTTGAAGCGACCTCCAACGGACCCAACAGAGGAGGAGAACAAGCGTCGCAAAACAGCTGAGACCCAGTCGTGTGGGTAACCTTCCAGAGAGAGATCTCAATGCTCCCACTTTGGATGTGGGTCTATTAGGGGTTGCTGAATCACTTCAGCCGCATGGGGAATCTCAATTGAGTTGCACGGGGACAGTCAACTCCTTTGAATCTTTAGCTGTTCCAGGCTCGAACGAGGACCAGGGTAGCTGCGGGACCTATGGACCCTGGCGTTCGCAGCCCACCTTTTTCAAATTGAGAGGAGGTGGATCCCACTCTACCATCTCCGACGAGGGCCAACAGTCCAACCCAGGGGCACCGAGTTCCTCTACCTCAGGGCGGACCTTCACGGGTACTGCCAATCACGGGACCCCACGGGATCGACTGGCCAGGCTCTTGCTAAGCATCATGGATGATGAAGATCATCCAATGCACGAGGAAGTTTTGACACCGGGCCAACAGGCCTTATATGATCTATGCAAGCATGACCTTTGGACATCGTGCCGAGCTTTTGAGGCTGGGTGGCATCGTGCACAAGGTCAACAATTCCTTGTCGATCTCAAACGCATGGAAACCGTTCTCCACAAGCTCCTCGCACTTCAAGGGGACCTTCCACATTTGCCCATCAACGTTTATGTGATCGGGCAGGCCTTGACCAGTCGGCTCCTAAACTCCCAAAATCTATGCTTCGGGAACTCTGCTTTCCGGTGCTGGAGTTGGGCTGGAGCTCATGCTGAAGATCCCTCCATTGCTTGGGGACGCACACACCAGGCTGTACGCACTTTTCTGGAGGAAAACGAACCCATTTCCCTCAGGGACTTGTCCCCTTTGGAGCCTCTTTGGCACCACTTTCAACAGGGCCAACAAGCGGACGTCGGGGACTTCATGGGCCATTTGGCCAACTTGGCCAATGGCACCTTCATCGGAGGCAAGTTTTACCATGTCACCACGGATGGACGTTTGGACGAGCGTGAGCAAATTCCCTTGAACATGATTTGCCCGGGCGGTGATTCTCCGATCTCCCTGGATGACATCGTCAACCTTTGGGCAGAAGAAGAAGGGGGACAATATTTGTACGGCACACCAGGGGGCCTCATCATCCACATCCAACGCTCCTCGCTGGTTGAGGGCCAGTGGACCAAACACAACCGTCCATTGGACCTTTCTACGACCATCACCATCCCCTTCTCTGAGGATGGCATCAATGTGCACTCAGCTACCTACAGGATCGTCAGCATGATTCTGCACAAGGGCCATGGACACCAAAACGGACACTATGTGGCCATCCATGCCATGGACAATGCTTACTGGTATGCGGATGATGGCACTTTTCCGGTTCCTCTTCCTCACCTGCTGGACAGCCACCGACAAGAAATTGTACAAGTTTGGTTGGTTCACGAATGCAGTGGAGAATTGGTTCCGGACACCGTTGAAGCTCTGGAACCGAGTCAGCCAAAGCGAGCCCGACACCACTCGGAGACTCTGCACTTTGTGTTTGCCAATGTGACCTCCTTTGGACGCAGGGTGCAAGATTGGGTTTGGACCAAAGGAGAACACATTCTCCTTTTCCAAGAAACGCACCTTGGGCAAAAGAAGATGGAAGAAGCCCAACAATACTTCAACACTCGAGGGTGGAAAAGCCATGGCCTTCCGGCGGAACCCACGGGCAGAGGAGGCAACGCTGGAGGCTTCCTCGTTCTCCATGGCACTCGTCACCTCACTCATGTGGCCCACTCCTACATCCAAGAAGGCAATGGCTGGATGGCTCTTGGCCTTCAACGACAGGGCACCACCTTCTTCCTCATCCAGCTCTACTTGCGCACGGGCGAAACCCTGCAGTCACCTCTTAATGCATCCATCCTGGGCCACCTTCTGGCTTTCCTCGAGCAGATCCAGGCTCCTTTCATTGTGGGGGGCGACTGGCAGAACGAGCCGGAGGCATTAGCGGCCACCGTCATCCAAAGTCGGTTCAAAGCTCAGATCATCAGCCCTGCCGGATCCACCACCCTTCAAGGCTCCACGATTGACTATTTGCTGGTCTCCCAAGCCTTGGCTAGCTGTGTCTCCCTACAAGTGGATTGGGACGTCCCTTGGAAGCCTCATTGTGGACTCATGGTGGATTTGCATTGCGATCAAGCGGAGATCCAAGTTCAACAACTCCAACGTTTCCCACCCATCGGACGCACCATGCAGCTGCCTGCGTCATGGACATCCTTCTGGGAAGATGATGGGCCCTTCCACATCATGGGCCACCCCATCACGGGGTTGGGATCCGACTTAGCCAGATGGGCCACCCAAACTGAGAAGTACCTCACACAGCTCCTCCACAATCCCACCACGGGGAGAGGAAGCAGGATCCACCTCTACAACGCTCCGCTGGTCGACCAAGGCCGGTCCCTGACGTGGCGAAAAGGTCATCTTGCCTTCTGGGAGAAGATGAAGGTCCGCATCAATGTTGTACATCAGACCCAGCATGGACGGATTGCCACTGACCTCCTCAACATGATGGATGGACTGCAGGCCCATGCTTCGGAGCACATGAGCCAAGATCTCTTCAAGGCTTTGCTTGGCCACTGGATTGAGCATCCTACGAATGAGCCCACTGAACTTCGACGGATCATTGCTGAAGAAGAGCAACTTGCTCATCAGAAGCTTTTCAGCAGCACAAATGAGGAATACCGTCTTTGGCTTGAGAAAGCCCATGAGAAAGGCCTCCGTGGTCTCTTTCGGAGCCTTCGCCAGCGAGACATCCCTTGGCAAAGACCTTTCCAGCACCTCCCTGCTGGGGAAAGACTACAGGCTCGAGAGGCTCAATGGGGTGCCATTTGGCAGCCTCGGGACGACCCTCGACCGATTCGTTCCTGGGACCTTCTACACCAGGCTGCAATCGATCAAGCTCAACAACTCCCACCCTTTCAATCGTATCAGCTGCAGCAACTTTTGCGACGACTTCCCAACAAGGCAGCGGGTCCGGATGGCATTTCCTATGATTTTCTGAGGCATTTGCCATTCCCGGCTGTGGAGAAACTGGCAGACCTCCTGACCACCATGGAAAGGGAGGGAGAGCTGGCTGTCCAGCTTCGAGCCACTAACATTGTGCTCATCCCCAAGAACTGCAAGGTGGAGAGGCCCATTGCCCTGACAAGCTGCATCTACAGGGTGTGGTGTTCCTACAGGAAAGCAGACCTGCAACGATGGCAATTGTCTCTGGATGATAAGCTCCCTTGGGACCAAGCTCGACCAGGCAGAGATTGTTTGAGCATTGCGATTGGCAGAATGCTACATGCTGAAATTGCTCGACATCAAGGTATCCACACGGTCACCTGCCTTGCTGATCTCACCTGCTTCTATGACCACGTCGACCTGGACCAGATCATTGAACCCGCCAGAGATTTGGCCTATCCCCCGCTGCACCTCAAGTTTGCCATGGATCTGTACACGGGCCCCCGAACTCTGCAAGCGGAAGGGATCAATGGAAACACTCGGCACTATGACAAAGGCATTCTTCAGGGATGTCCTCAAGCCCCAGCCATCTCCAAGCTCATACTCTACCGACCACTGGAAGCGCTGGTCAAAGCCCACCCTGCAGCTTCTTTGCAGACATGGGTTGATGATGTCAGCTTCGACATCCACAGTCGGGATGCAGACTTCGCGGCCAGAGAGGCACTTGGCGCTTTCCGCGCCCTCAAGTGGCAAATGGAGCAAGCTGGCTTGGTTTTAAACACCGACAAAACGGGTTTCATCACAAGCTCCAAGGAGTCCGCCAAAGCCCTTAAGGCCCTTTTGCAAGAAGGTGATCCGGAACACTATGATGTTCTCCGTGATTTGGGAGTGGATTCAACGGCTGGTCGGCGAAGACGGGTGCCTCAGATCCGCAAGAGGTTCCTCAAGGGCAAGGGCAGAGTTGGCATCATGCATCGTCTGCGCATAGCCCAGGGCATCCGCTACCGTCTACACAAGGGAGCGGTGCACCCGGTTATGTCTTGGGGGGCTCAAGCCAATGGTTTAGCACCACAAAGGAGGCACCAGTTGAGAGTTCTGGCCGCCACTCAGGCTTCAACGCTCTGGGTCAGTGGACATCGTCTTTGACATGCATCCCTCTCAGCCTGATCCTGGAGACTCAATCATCCTCCAGCATTTGCACACCATTTGGAAGGTCTATCATGGCTTCCCTGAGAACAAGCAACACCTGTTCTGGACCAGCTGGAACACCGCCCTAGGGGCCTTGCACAAAGCCAAGTACAAGTGGCAGGTTGTCTCTGGACCTTTGCAGGCCCTTCAAGCCTACATGATGGATCTCGACTTCGACATCTCTGATGGACAGAAATGGAAGCGAACAGGCTATGGGGGCATCCCAGACTGTGTGCTCAGCCTGACTGATCCGTGGCCACTTTTGCACCACAAGCTCACGCAAGAATTCCGATGGCAGCGCCTTCTCCGTCTGACCAGGTACGATGGGTGCCATGACCTAGAAAGGCCGTTGGATTGGATGATCAGTCAGCACATCCAGAGAACCACCAGCGAGGCCATCGCCACTGGGTTGAGAGCTTTTTATGAGGGCACCTTGCATGGCCTCACTGGACACTGTCCTTTGTGTGGAGTTGAGCTGACCTTCATCCACCTTCTGTGGCAGTGCTCCTTTTGGCAAGGAAGGGTCAAGCCACTCTCCAAGGAATGGACCAATCGCCTGGAGGTTGGCACAGATCCCGAGCTATGGCAGAGAGGCTTGGTTCAGCGCATTTTCTATGAGCCGGAAGAAGGCTCTTCCACCCTGGAAGGCGCCGGGGTATGGAAAGATCTGGGGCACCTCAGGCTGCAAAAAGGCCACATATGCTCCATCGCTGTGGCACCCACGTGTGGAGACAAAAGGCACAAGCGCTTTGCTTTTGCAATATGTGTGCGCCTGACCACCGACAAGCAGCAAGTTGGCTCCATCACGGGCATCTGTCCTGGCCCTGCCACCAAACAGAGGGCCATCTTCTATGCCATGAAGCAGCTTGCTCTGCATGTCTTGGAGAAGACTCCAGTGGCACTATATGACGCAGCCGCTTGGAAGAATTGGAAGCCACATGTTGCCTTTGAAACCTTTCCGGATCTTTTCACGGGCCTCGAATTTGAAGATTTCGATCATGTTTGGCCTCTTCTCTTCTCCCGAGCTGAACTGGAGCAGAATGATATGAGACGAGTCACTCAGAAGGACACCCAGAAAGCGGCAGACAACACGGGCAAGCTCTTTGAACCAAAGGAGATCCTCGACTTGCAATCACACATAGACGATGATGCCCATGCCATCCTTCTCAGTGCAGGTGAGCGAATGAGCATTTTGCTAAGGTGCAAAGAGCATTTCCTGCACCGCAAGGAAGCCGACATCCAACAGAAGATCCCGCTTGCTCAGCAAAAGAAGGAGATCCTCCAAGATCTTTTGCGCAAGACTTCTCATAAGGGCCATCAATGGGAGGTCTTCAGAAGTGGCATCCAATGCCGAGTGTGTCGTTTGCGATACCACAGCAAGAGTCTCCTGAGTGAGTTGAAGGAAGCCTCAGACAAACCATGCCAACAAGAAGTCCGTCCTAGCCCACCGAAGCAGACCAGGATGGAGATGATCCACGCCCTGATAGCTGCCCAGCAAGGCCCACAACAAGGAGTCCATCACTTGCAGTTGGACCGAGCCTACCTGAGGTGCTCAGTCTGTCGGTGCTACATCTTAGCCAGGACAAATGAGGAAGCTTTCAGCCGGTTTGTGGGAGAACCATGCTACCACGGTCCCCTGCAAGCAAGCCTCTGGGAAGGCCATGGGTCGCACACCATGGTGCGCACCGGCCACACTTTGGAGTGCTCGCGATGTCACGCACGCACTCGAATATCGGAAGGCATTCCGGTATTGACCAGCAGGCTCAAGGCCCGCTGCGTGTACATGCGCCAGAGAGACCTGCGACAGATGTTCGCTTAACCTCATGCTGTCCCAAAAGGCGTGCAAAAAAAAAAACACAAGTTATACAGTTCTTTTTTTTGCTAAAAGAGAGTCCCATGAAAATCTGAGCGAGTCCGATAGGGAAAGGACGAATTGGGTGTCCTCGCCTACAGTGGCTTTATAAATCCAATGAAGGGATTAGGACAAACTATATAGGGGAATGGCGAACTCTCCCAAAATCATGAAAGGTACTAGGCTGCGCAAACCAGACTTATATTTAAGTTCCATGCCAAGCGCCCAAGCTTTTTTGGCATTTGCCGAAGACATCAGCACAAGATGCACGGCATGGGAACGGCACTCTTGGAAGGTGAAGATTCAGATGATTCTTATTCTGATGACTCTCAGAATTTGTACGCATTGTGTACCTTGTGACTTGCCCTACAGAATCTCGAAGACCCAAGAGACACGAAACTCCGACCACACCTTGTGAGACTCCACATTCTCCCAGGAACGGTGACTTTTTGCGGTCCAATAGTGGTCCAAAAAGTGCACCCTAGACAGATAAACAAGATAAATCCTGTTGAAATATGTCAGAAAAATGAGTCTTCAGGTCTTGGAAACCGTGAAGCTATCGAAGGTCCTCGGACTTCCTGACTACGTTCTCAGGTGGCTCTGGACCGAGCTCGGGTGCGGTGAGCTCCCAGGCAGGGGCCAAGAAGGCGCTGCAGGCGGGGATTTGGACATGGTTTTGGGGTTGACTGAAATTGGGAGGGTTTCTTGGATTTTCTAAAACGCTGGTGCAGAAGATGAACACTACCTTTCATGCCGTTGTTTGTGGCACAGCACCAGCCTGGTTGATAGAGCGCAAAGACTTTTCTACTTGGTCGTGTCTCATTGCCCTCCAAAACAGGGCAGAAGTTTACAGGATTCCTTGCAGAAGCGGATGGGATGGATTTTCTCTGAAATACGACGGCTCTCCCGCTGCGCGCTGCGACCGGTCTGTGCGACCGGTTTGGTAGGCCTGCGCCATCCACGAGGATGGTACCCTGCTGGCTGCCGGCGGTTGGTCCATGGAGGCAGGGGGGCCAACCCAGGACATGGGTTTCTCTCAGGTGGCCAGTGCCTACTTTTGTGCATGGGTAGGTTTCGGGTTTTGGCAGTTTCTTTTTGTGACTCATGACATCTCATGACATCTCATGACTCATGACGTCTTAGGTGTTTGTCAGCTGGACGGCAGTTCGTTTTGTGCGCAGGTTTGACTGTTGACCTTGATAACCTTGAGACCTAGAGAACTTCCAGAGTTGCCTTGTGGAAGGACATGAAATGATGGTGTATTGTTTGCACTGATTCACCAACTGCTCCAGTCCGCCCCGTCTTGAAAGGTAAAAATTGGTACATTTTTTCATGGTAGGAGTTCACTTTCTTTTGTGTTTTTCTATCCTTGCGCTTTGGTTCTTGGGGCAAGTTTGGTTCTTCTTCCGTACTGAAGATGATCCGCCTTTTTCCAAAGCTCAGACGTCACGGCTGATAGAGGCTGATAGAGGTGAGGAGGCGAGGATGCATTTCCCAAACATTTGTCGAGGCCTTTCATTGGGTGACCACTTAATGGAGGGCCAGCACTGGCATCTCGCCATCCCAAATGGCTGGTGTAATCACCATCCTATTGATGGTGGTGGGGTCTTTACACAGGTCATGATGCTTTTCCTTTTTTCGCCCTTGGGCGGTCGAGGTGTGTGTCTGGAACGTGGAGCCCGAGACCTTCGCTGATGAGACGGCCGGAAAGAGGTGGAGATGTTCGGTGGGGTTTTGAGTGGTGAACACTTGTTCCCAGTTTCCACCGATTTCGTTTATTTCTGGAAGACTGGCCCTTCGGATGACCTGAGGAAGGGGAGGACCAGGAGGGGTGAAGAATATTACACAGAAACATGGTCGACGGCCCGACGGCTGAAGAATATTAACAACTTCCACGTTAGTGAGTCAGAGTATCAGTTTTAGCTGCCAGCAACAACCTCTGCACCAACTATCCTAGCCAAATACCTTTCAGAGGAATTGTTGAGGTTTGGTGCTAGGCCACTCCCCAGCAAAATAGCAAGGTCTAGCTATATAACCACTTCATCATTGGAGTACTAATGACGTAATGCATTTCATTCAACCTTTTTAATCCAGGGGAGCCAAATTGCTCAATTGCCTTGTCCAATGATGAAAGCACAGTCTGATAATTTTAGCGTCCTTCCAATCTGCTGCCGGACATTTTTTGCTTCCTTCCCCGGTCCATTGGTTCCCTGTTGTGGATACACTTCTTCCATTAGTTTTTTGGCCTTGCCTGGAAAAGGGTCCTTTTCATCTTGTCTTTGGGACTCTGGATTTGGCAGATCTCCATGGATCCTCTTGTCATTTTGTGTTGATGAGGGATACATTGTGTGCATGCAAGTGTGAGGTTCTACCTTTGCCAGTTTCCCTTGCATGAATGCTTTTCTGAGACGATCTCGCGAGGAAAGCCCCTCACCAGGCAGGAGCCGCTGATTTGTCTCTAGCATCCCAACCCAGGGTCCAATAGGAGAGCATCCAAATCGCCTCAAAACCACAAGTTTGCAGGGGAAGGTAGGTCCTGTTTTAATTTCAACGTCTTTGCTTTCGTCTTTTCGTCTCAGGGATGAAAGCGTTTAGGCAGAGTTAGGTTTGTTCTTCCGATGGGTCGGCTTTTTCTGAGTGATTATTTTTTTTTGCGTTTGCAGGATGGTCCACCAGCTTGGGTTCTGTAAGCTTCATGGGTTTATGGGAAGATTTTATGTTATTTTGTTTGTGTTTCAAGAGACCTTCAACAGCAAGGTCTTTTGTAGGCTGACTGATGACTGGGAGTTTGACGCATCGAACTGCAGATTTGATATCTATGGTATGGCACATATTCTGTCTGTTTGGGCTGTGTGATTTTGTCTTGCCATATCGCTCCCACTCGTCATCGATCAACCTTACTGCCCCTTTCGCTTCACCACACGCAGCATAAATCTTCATTTGTAGCGAATATTACACCAGCAGGAATAATCCAAGGCCTCATGAGACAGTCATTAAGATGGTTAAGCGGTCAGAGGATTCTTTGATGCCCAATCAGAATTCAGCTCTGATATTCTAATTGCCTGAGGAGTCCTCCAGAGGCGTCCACCCATGTGTTTTTGCTCAGGCCGAGGCAAAGTTCACCTTGGCGGGGCACTCGCAGGTGGTGACTGCGCTCAGCTTCGGGAAGAAGGCGTCGACCTCGTAGACTTCGACAGGTGGTGGTCTGCTGTCCCGTGATGTGGAACACAGGCTGGTCATGTCCCGAACTGGAATGATTTACTGATGGCCTATGGCCCATGATTTGGGTTTTGGACAGTGAAGTCGGCGGATGACAACTGCGGTTTGCCAGAAGGTATTTGTGCGTGCGTCTTTCACATGATGGCCGCTGGCTAAAGGTCCATGGCATCATTATTTCTTTCTTTCTTTCTTTCTTAGACACAGAGATCCCAAACCGCTGGTGGTTTCAAGGGTGTGGTACTTGGGGATGTGAGGTTTAGCCAGTTCAACATCAAGGTCCAGCCAGCGGTTTTCTTGCACCACCTGTGCCAGGAGCAGTTCCCCTTCAGTCTTCTGAGCGGCTCCTGGGCCAGGCTCTCAAGACGTCCAGATCGAGTGTCCTCAAACTCCAACGATGAGATTGTGAGCTTGTCAGGTTAAGCCGGTTAAGCCTGAACAAGTTTTCACTTCCTTGCACTAGGCGAGAAAGTAACCGGATTAAACATGGCATTCCTGACAAGGAAGACTTTTAGACGAAACGAAGAAGGGCTCGTTGGCATCAGCTGAACTTCGGACCATCAGAAACCATTAAAAAGGTGCAGATTGGAACCTACATGACCTCTCCAAAGCCGCTGTTTTGGTGGAGCCAACAGACCAACGACAAAAACCAGGTGCCTGATTGAACAAACTCTGAGGACTGCTCGATTCGCGTCTGGGATTTGGTGGCCGTGGCATCCCCAGCGAAACTTGAGACCAGGATTTGGTGTTAGTAGGGCTGATGGGAACTTCTACATGCTTCTACCAAAGTATGAGGTTGTACACTGTAGGGTCATGGACATGGAACATGGTCCCTTTGCAGGGAAGCTGTTGTTGAGTCGAGTTGTGCAACTCCATGCACAGCCCAAAGGAATAAACTCATTTGAGAAATCCGGGCACGGGTCTTCGAGGCATGAGGTTTAGTCTTGCATAGCCGTGGCGAAATATGTCCTTTTCTTCTCCCATGTAAGATGTGCCAGCGAATCACCAGAAAATGAGAACATGGCGAATGCGAAGATGACTCCTGATCTAGGTGCCGTCATCTAACTGGGTGCAGTCCTTTGGGGTGCCAAAGCAACAGGAACAAACAGACGTGACTTGAACACCACTGCGTTTCGAGCACTGCACTGAGGGCAGCGGGGTATGCAACTGGCCAGTGGCGCGTGCCGCTTCTTGGAGCGGAGAGAATGGGGAGCAGCGTTTTGTGTCATGAGCCAAGGTCAAATGGTGGGTGTGACACATGGGGGCTCCCCAAACCAGTGTGTGTTTTGATCTGTTTCTGAAAGAAGTTACCAAGGGTGTGGTTATGGATTCCAGCAATGAACACCCATGAAATAGAGCGAAACAAGGCAGCCATGAAACACCACAGAGCAGCCATTAGACGAGAAATGACCGGTGTGAGGATCTTGGCCTCCTCAAGGTGAGAGTTTGTAGGACGAGACCGGATGGGTGGCGTGCCTGGGCCGCTGAACGCTGGCTCCAGGCTGCTTTTGGCAGGCATCCGATGTTGCGGACTCTGCAGCAAGCTTGAAAGGTGGTCAGGTTTAGACCAGATGGGATTCTGCAAGATCAAATGTACTTGGAAAGCTGGTCCATTCTTTTCCTTCCTCCACCTTTTTTCTGTGCCCCAGACCCTAGAAAGAGACTCAATGTCCTGTGGGGAGCGTTGCATCATGCTCCGAGGTTACCAGCTTTACGCTGAATCCTTCCATGCCACAGCTGGCAACCAGCCATGAGGTGATGACATGGGCGAATCGGGGGAACACCTTTTCTTTCTTGCCCTTCAGTAGCTACGTACAAAGAAGGTTGTGATTGTGTCATTTATTGTTGGTGCAGTGCAGATCACAAGTGGTTCCAGCGTGCAGAAAGACACGTGATCCACCTTTTCTTTGGCCAGATCGTCATCCATTGTCATCCCAAAATGCCTAGTCAAGCCGGCCTGGGCCCCATCGAAGCAAGCAGCCGGGCAGGATGGTCATGTCTCCCTTTGGGATATCCGTGCTCCAGCACACAGCTCCATTGCAGCTTGGCTAAAGAAGAAACATTAGTGCTGGGACGGAGGACGTAAAGCAAGCGAGCCACTGGCCTTCCTCAGGGCCGGGACACATATCCCAAAACGCTTTTGGAGAGGCGATTTTGGATTTGAGCCGGGCAGGGTTCGTCTTCTCATTGGTTCAACCAGGTGCAGTGATCCAAGTGATGCTGCTTCATGATTCCAGAACTGGATGTGAAACTTGGAAATTTCTATTGCAAGTTGTTAATAGGCAGTCTCAACATGGAAAAGAGGCCAGTTGGTTCCTTGCTCGGTCTGAGGCGGGTGCCATGTGCGGATGCTTGACTGTGCGACTGGCGACTGACGTGCCAGGGTTTGAAGCATGAGGCCTCTTGTGTTTCCGTTGTCATCGAAGATCCCAAATGGTTCATGAAAATCGGGTGCTGCAATATACTGTACAGCCTATACAGTATATAATGGATTTTTTAGTGCCAAGTGGTGTTGGAGACCATCTGGCGACCAAAATTACCTGGCCCCTGATGACTCTCGTAAACCAAGTTTTTTCCAATAAAATTTACCGCCCCCCAAAACAGAACCTCCTGCATTCGAAGGATTCGCCATGCTTTGCTCTCTGAGGTCGCTGGATGTCAAGCCGCCGTGCTTTTGTTCGCAGCGGACGATACGGGACGATACGGGATGACGCTTCCAAGGTCGCGACTGGGATCCACCAAAGCCTTTGGCACAGTGGGATATCCATGGGATATCTACGGTGACCATGGTGCGTCAGGTGGTGATTTCTTTCACGAAGAGTGTTGAATCCTTGAATATGAATCTGCAGCTATGGCCGTCCTTCGCTTGAAGATATCATTGAACACCTTGTATTGACAGCTCTTAGTGCTTGAAGATTTATAGTACTTTTCCTTAATGCTTGGATTATCCAAGAGATGAAAGGTGTGGCATGGCACTCCTGAAGATCGGGCACATGAATGGCGGTGGCTCGCACCCAGTTCCAACATGTTGGCTTTCTGCTTCTCTGGTGCAATTGGGTGAAAGGCAAGCACGAACGACATGAAGGACCATCTCGAAACAGAGGTCTTAGATGGTCTTAGAGTCTCACATGTTCCGATGTCAAAAGCAATTGTTCTGCTCAGAGTCACCCTCGGATTCCGAGCCAGTTTCGAACCAGCTCGGAGCGTTTTGGTCACAAGTTGGACCCATACATGACCGCTTTGCAGCTTGCACCACTCTGAAGAAGAGCTGTGTCCAAGCTTTCTGTAGATACTTCCAGTCAAACACCACGATGGCAGCCAGTAGTCAAAGACAGATGGTGCTTGATGGTGTTTTCCTGGTGCGGGTACTTGAGGTAGCTTCATATTGATTTCATACGCGAAATCATCGTCAACGATTCAACCCTTCACATACGCTCCGGTGTGCGATTTGCTCCCCGCAGCGTGGTTGGGTTACTTCTGATCCTTCACCAACAGAGGTTTTGCATGGTTTTGCGCTTTGCTGCCAGGCCAGTGCGGGCCTCAACCTCATGGGAGCACAAGTGACCCACCAGCGGCTCGCGCAGCAGGTGGCATGGTGCCCAGAGGAGAGTCGTTTTTTTGACGGCTGACGGGCTGAGACGGGTGGTGCAGAGTCCAAATGGAAAGCTGCCCGGGGGGTAGGCCAGTCACTAAGAGGTAGTAGCTAGAGGCTAGAGGCAGCTAGTAGTAGCTAGGTAGCTAGCTGGTAGCGAACGTACCTTAGTTAGGCTACTAGGAACTGGACGCAGGATAGCTCACGCTTCTTCAAAGAAGCTCTCCCCGCCGCCCTAAGAAGCGCTCGCACTATTCATTCGGTTCCTAGATTCTTAGGGAAACTTAAGTATGCACATGTTTGCGCCGCGGGACACTGAGGTTCACTGGGGTGTGTCCTGTTTTTCCATGGGTCTAGCGTTGGTTGGGGCCTTTGCACCTCAACATCGCAAGCCACATGGATTCAAAGCTTGGTACATCGAAATGAAATAAATGAGATGCTCGGGCCAGCACCTGCAGTGTGGCGGTGTGGCACCGATACCTCAACGGCCCATGCCATGCAATCCTACCCACTCTGAGTGTCTTTGGTGAGGATTCCATAGACTTCAGTCTTTGGCAAGGAGCCACTTCAAGACTTCCAAAACCCGAGTGGTAGCACCCTCAAATGAGCTGCTGCTCTGATGGCAAGGGTGAAGGGTACTACTTAGGGTTGGCCTCCAGGATACTTCCGAGTCCTTGAGTCCTCTTAAACGTAAGAATCTCTTGCACCAACTGCAAGCCCAACGGCACGGGTCATGGTATTCAAGATCTGGTAATCCGAAGAATCGGACTTTGGGGAAGCTGCGAAGTTCGGAAAGGACTCGTCGAGGGGGAAGCTGGAAAGGTCTTTGGCTCTAAGGTGTCTTTGGCATGGAAGTTGAGGAGTGCTCTAAAGGACGCCACATCATCTTAGCTGCTTCCCAGGATGTAGACATAAGGCCAAGAAACCAAGAATCTGCAACTGGGTGGCACGTTTCGGCCTCAAGACATACTGGAAGACTGGTGTTGCCATGCCAGCCCCGCCGGGCTCCGACTTGCGGCACAAGTGCCCCGTGACGCGGGAGCATTTGAGTAACGAGCTGCAGGCGGGAAGCGCGGTGCGGGTCGAGAGAAGCGTGGTGCACCTGGTACCCCTTAGCAAAACAACGCACAGGAACTGGCTTAGGATCAGGAGGAATATGGAAGAACATGATTCAACATAAGGGACAAGGAAGAGAGTCTGGAGAGACAGACTGGTCCCGCACGACTTCGTGGGCTGTGGATACTTGCACCCATCACAACTCTTATCAGACATCCAACATGGTGCTTGACGTTGGTTCGTGAAACGAGACAATGACTTTGACACAGCGCCTGTGAGGCCCTACAGCGACTTCTGAATGATGAGCTTCGGGAGACTGGAGACCGTTTCTGGTGGCAGAAGGGGTGGTCGTCGGGTGCTAGTCTTGAAAGATTCCTCCTCTACAAGCTAAGCATGTGCACTGAGCCAAAGTCCAGGGCAATACGATCCGCATGAGATATAATAATTACCCCGGGGGGTTTTGTTCTCCACTCAGAGATCAAGAGGGCACTCTTGAGCCTGTATGTGATGCAAGATGCATGTAGGGAACAGGAGGGAAATCACGGCAAACAAGTCTGACAGAAGTAGCATTTTTTTGGTGTCCTACCGTTTCTTGATGACTTAGCACCAACATTATGTATATATATACATACACTGTAAGATTTAGACGCTCCATGCATCCCTTGGCTTCAAACAACCAATGTTGCAGAGGGGCCATCACCAGCTTTACTGGAAGACTGCGATGGCAGAATCCGCAGTCTTTCTCTTTTTTGTGGCAAGGCCTTGAAGCTCTGGAGGATATCCTGAAAACAGGGGAACCACTTTTCATCAGTGAAACTACCACGGGTTACAAGAGACTTTTGAAAGACAAACCGTATCGAGTTCATTGAGGAGGGGACATGGCGAAACTATCACCAGACGCTGCTTACATCCTTTCAATTAATTTTGGAATATTATATACTCAAGTACCAGGTAGTGTAGAACAAGAGTGCCTTTCAAGCTGTATTAGAGCCGACACACCACTTCCCGATTCCATGCGTCAGTCTTTGGTTTGTTCAGTCCCTGAACTCGGTTGATTCTTCCGTGGGGACACCATGATTCGGGTCTTTGATCCTCCTCATCCGATCCGTTTCACCGTCGCGTGCTCTCTCTCTCTCTCACAACGTGCACGACGCTGAATTCTCACCGAGCCCAGGCTCGTTTGGTACGGTGGAATGTCCAAATGTCCTACCGAGTAGAAGATCCATTTCTGAGTTTGGGCACCCCCCTCGGTTCCGTTGGGGGATCCGTGGGTGATCCCATGTGGTGAGTCCCGACCGAGCTGTGTTTTTTTTTTTTTTTTTTTTTCTGAGTCTGTTTTCAAGGCTTGCGCGAGGCCTTCCGCACCGATCTGGCGCCCCTTTCGGCCATGCTCCAGGCGCGGGATTGAGTGGTGAGGATGACCGAATTAGATGGACACTCCGTTTGGTAGATGAGGCATTGTCAAAAAGCAGTTGTTGTTATGTTAACCAGATAGCATATCTCTGATGGTTTTGCAAAATAACATAAAACACAAAAAGCAACTACAAATTGCCAAAGCAAAAGAAACAAATCCAGAAAGCAAATGAAAAAGTCAAAAGCAATAAAAGCAAGTCCAAAAAGCAAAAAACATCAAACGCAAAACAAGCAAATGCAAAAAGCAAACAGAAAAGCAAATGAACAAGCAATCGCAAAAAATACGCACATCCAAAAAGCAAAAAAACAAATGAAAAAGCAAAAGCAAAAAAACAAGAACTTCCAAAACGAAAAAGCGAAAAAATATGCGAAAAAAACAGGGGAAAAACGAAACAATGCAAACAAATGCGAACAAAATAGGACGCCATTTGCTTTTTCATTTGCATTGTTTTTTGCGCTTTGGATTCGCTGCTTCATTTGCTTTCGTTTTGCTTTTTGGATTTGCTTTTTTTCATTCCCGAATGCGTAGCGAAGGGTTCCCGTTTATAGTTGGGGGTCTGGGGGTTGGAGCTGTGTTCGCGTGGCTTGCGTCGTCTCGTCGTTTGTCGTCGTTTGTCGTCGTCTCTCGTCGTCGTCGCGTCTCAAATTTGCTGCCATTGGGGGAAGCTTTTGCAAGTGACTTTTCATGGACGTATCACGTGTCAGTTTGCGACGCTATTCCATTGTGATTTGCAGGACAACGACATGTCGCGCAAGAAACGTGATGCATTTCGCTGCACAGGCGCAGCGTTTTGTGAGATCCGCAGATTGCCGCGCAGTTCCATTGGGATTAGCGTTTGGAGAGTCGTGTTTTTGGAGTGTTGGATGTGGCCGTGCCATTGGGATTTGCGTTTCAGGGTGTGGCATCGAAGCTCGGTTTTCGTGACAAGTCTCAGCTGAAATGGCGATTTTGGTGGATGGGAGTGTGCTCAGAATGGGTCGAAATCATTCCAAACGTGTGGTGTGGTGCAAATTTTGTTGAAGCTCACAGGAGATGATATTGTCACTTTTCGTGGCAGGCGCAGGACTTTGTGCGGGTTTTGAGGCGTGGAAGTGCGATTCTCGTGGCAGGCGCAGGGAATCGTGAGGTTGCGAGGTGTGACGGAGGTCACATGTCGTGGCAGGCGCAGTACTTTGTGCGCGTTAGACGTGTGGACGGGGAAAGATTCGTGGCAGGCGCAGGGAATCGTGAGGTTGTGAGTTGTGGTAGAGGTGAATGTCGCTGTCCCATTGGGATTGGCGTGTGAGCGGATGTTGTTTGGAGGGGCTGGAATCGCGAAACTGCTTGGCAGGGCTGCGTGATGTGTGTGCTCCGATGGGTGTTTCCGCTTGACTTTTGGAGGAAGTCTCATACAAAACGCTCGTTTTGCAGACTTTGACGTGTGAGTTTTTGAGGAAGTCTCGTACGAAACGCTCGTTTTGGAGACTTGACGCGCAACCCTCTGCGGAGATCGTGCGTGTCGAGTGTGCGAAATGCAGGCGAGAGTGCGATTTGTCCCATGCGCGCGCAACCCTCTGCGGAGATCGTGCGTGTCAAGTGCGCGAAATGCAGGCGAGAGTGCGATTTGTCCCATGCGCGCGCAACCCTTTGCGGAGATCGTGCGTGTCGAGTGCGCGAAATGCAGGCGAGAGTGCGACTTGTCCGGTACCCGCGCAACCCTCTGCGAAGATCGTGCGTGTCGAGCGCGCGAAATGCAGGCGAGCACCGGCGACTTTGTAGTACAACT